ATAAAGCCGATATAATTTTATTTATTTTAATTAATATTTAAGAAATTTGAAATCATTTGAAAATGGATTAAAAATAATTGTGTAAAATAAACATACTTATACTTTAGAAGACAAAGCATTTTTCACAAATAAATATTTAATAAAAATCTAATTAAAAAGGAAGTAAACACTAACACTGTAACCAACAGGGCACTCAGTATTCTGGGAAGTTTGTGTGAATCATTAATTTTTTTTTTTCAAATAAAGCCAAGGTAACACTCATTTTACATACAGCACGCAATGAAAATGACATAAATATATGACAGTGGGCAAATGCATAAAGCGCAGCATAATTTGAAATCAGTCACGAGTTTAAAGTTTGTCGATCGGTCGTCTCCAGTGAAGCTGAACTCTCCTCCTGTCAGCATTCAATTCGCACGGATCGACCGTCACGCAGAGAACACGCGATCATGCAGGATACAAATGCACACTTCACAAGATCTCAACTAGATTCGACTAAGTCTGCAACGTTTGTGAAATTAAATGTTCATTAGTCATTCAAAGATTTGTTTAAATGATATAAATGCGTATTTGCTGAATGCTGACGGCAAATGAGAAAGTATTATAATGTTTGCCTTTACCTTAATATTACTAATAATATTAAAGCAATCGTCATAATACTTCTTTGTATACCTTTTAATTCCTTTGTTTAACAGTTCTGTCTGATTATTAGATAGACTTCTATCCATATTAGACAGAACTGAATGAAGACAGCGAACAAGAGGGAGAATGTGAGCACTGTGTGCTCAGGCGCTGCCGTTCTCAGTGCCGTCAAAATAAAAGTCCCGAACACATCGGCCAAACAGAGAAACGTATCGTTCGATGCCGATATTTGAAAAATGCCTTGGCGATATATCGGTCGATTACTAATCAATACCATGTGCCTTTTACCCCATGCTGGTGAGCCCTCTTTTACCCCTCTTGCCACCTCATACATTTATAAGATTTTTAAACAAAATAAACAACTTGAATGATTTATTTTCACACAAAAAATGTTGCTCCATTAATGTTCAATGCAACGTATATATTTTTCTGCAATTATACAATTTAGGTGCAGTGAATAGCACATTTTTCTTAAGGTGGGGCTTTAGCCCCATTGTACCCTACTATTTATTAATATTTTGAATTTTATATATAAAAAAAAAATTTATTGCTAGTTATTAGTTCTAGTAATTTTTTATGTGCTTTTGTCATTTTTAGTTTCTTTTTGTAAATATTTCTATTTAGCTTTAATTTATTTTATTTCAGTTTATTTAGTAATTTCGGTAGTTCAACTTAAACATTTTATTTCCGCTAGTTGCTAAGGCAACATTTCAAATTAAGAACTTTTTTTGTTTTGTTTTTCATCTTTATCACATTAATTAGGGGTCCTATTATGCTCTTTTACAAAGTCTTGATTTTGTTTTGGGGTGTACTAGAACATGCTCTCATGCTTGGTGCATGAGAGCATGACGCATTATTTTTCACATAATTTACATTATTAAAATACCTTTCTCCCCAGCCTGGCACAAACGGCTCGATTAGTTCCGGCTTTGATGAAGGTCCGCCTTCCGAAAAACAAAATGTGTTGTGATTGGTTAGCTGTCCCAGTGCGTTGTGATTGGCGAACAGCTTAGACGGTGTTTCAGTACTGCTGAAAAAGCATAATAGGACCCCTT